AAATTCACATCCTAAAGAAAAAAAAAAAAAGAACACCAAATCATAGTCATTCATACTCCCTCCATGATTTCAACAATACTCTCCGAATCCGAACAGGATAAGCTCATCAGGAAACTCGAAATCTTCAAGATCCAAGGCCGGGACAAGCGCGGCCGCCCAATCCTCCGCATCATCGGAAAATACTTTCCAGGTAAGAACAACAAAATCCAAATTCAATTATTATAACTAATCAGATTTTTATTACTAACCCTCTCTAATTATGTGTGGGATATCAACAGCGAGGCTCGTCAGCGTGGACGCCCTGAAGAAGTACCTGGAGGCCGAGATTTTTCCGGGATTGGAGGGGCGGCGGTTCTCGGTGGTTTACGTCAACACGGAGGTGAACCGGGCCGACAACTTCGCCGGAATATCGGCCCTGAGGTCCATATACGACGCCGTACCGGTCAAGGTCTGGGAGAATCTGGACACGTTTTACTTCCTCCACCCGGGCCTCCAGTCCCGCCTCTTCCTCGCGACCCTCGGCCGAGTACTCTTCGCCTCCGGCGGCGGGTAATTAACTAATTAATTGGTTAAATTAATCTTGTTTTAGCGTTGATTAACCGATTGGGTCGCTAATTGGGGATTAATTGATTGGAACAGGTTGTACGGGAAGGTGAAGTACGTGAACAGGGTGGAGTTTTTGTGGGATTATGTGAGGAGGATAGGGTTTGAGATGCCGGAGTTCGTGAGCGAGTTTGACGAGGAGATGGAGTGCCGGGGCACGCTCGATTACGGGCTTGAGAGCGATCATCCGGGCTTGGAAAGGGCCTGTTCGGGCCTCGATTCCGCGGTTTCTACTTATTCCATGAGGTGTATTGCTTAGGGATAATGTGAGTCGGGCCATGGGCTGGAGCTTGGCTCAAGATTGGTTGGGCCTAACCTTGGCTCGCTTTGTTTCTTTTTCACTTTTTGTGTGTGTGTGTGTGTGTGTGGAAGAATATCAAGTGGTAGGGTCGGGTTTCTTGTTGGTGGGGTTTCAAGTCTTATCTTTGGGATAAGGTCGTTGACTATATGTAAAAAAAGCAGTGCTTGTAATTATTAATTAGTAGTATTTGTAGTATATATTATTCAATTTTCTCTTAGTTTCATTAATTAGTAGTATTTGTAGTATATATTATTCAATTTTCTCTTAGTTTCGTTAGGGCATTTACGACCCTTTAACACAAAATTCATTCATTCAATAAAAAAGTAACACTCTCTCTCATCCACATCATCTCCATATCATCTTTTCACTAAATCTCTCTCCATTTAAACACACCCCTACATTCCTACACATTTATTTAAATACATATGTCGGACCCATTATTCACTCATTCAATATAAAATTTTTATATTCTATTCACAGTAAAAATATATTTCAATATTTTAATAATAATAAATTTTAAATGCATGAAAATAAAAGAACGTATTTTAAATGCTGAACACAACCAGCGTTGCGGATGCTCTTATCAATAGAACGTATTTGCTATGGAGCCATCGGATGACTCAATTTATGGAATCATCCATAATTATGAATTGCTCCATAAGAGAGCCATCCGATGGCTCATATACTTTCTGATCAATAGAATACAAAATATCAATTTTGCTGTGGTGTGATATAATTATAAAGAAACAGTATTCTAATAAAAAATACAATTGGAATATATTTTAACATATCAATTCCCGATGACTCCAAAAGAGACCATGTGAGAGCTCCCATAGAATTTCTGTAAAAAATATTATAGTATGTATTCGAGAGATGATGGGTACATTTTGATTTTCTAAAATCAATAATGAATGAGATTTTTGTGCACTAGTATGAGACTTTTGGCACGTACGCACTCGTGGGATGCAATAATGCTCATAATATCAATACTCGTGCGTTGTGACCAGTTAAAAGACCAAAAAGAAAAAGAAAAAAGATAAAGAGTAAAGGCAGTTAAAGACATCAGATTCTAAAGATATAAAAAGCAATGTTTAAATAAAAAATCTTAAAAGCTGTTCCCAAACTTGCTATTACCAAAAACCAGTCTGAATTTCATACTAGTCATCTGATAAAGTATATTCCAGATCATGACACAGAAAAGAAGAAAATCAATAATTCTGTAAAACTCTATGAAATATTTGTACAGTAGACAAGTTGATCCAGTATTCTAGTTAAACCAAAGAACACTTTAAAGAAAATGAATTTCGCCACATTTTCTAGGTTCTCAAGTTGGTATACACTGTTTGGAATTTTACATATTCCACACAAAGGACTTGCAGTAACCAATCCCTTATTCCAAATGCCAGAGAACTAATCAGATTCACTGCCCCAGCAAACATTTAGTTACCTGAGCAACAGAAAGATATCGTTTATGCATCAGAATAGTCATATGATTAGAAGGAAACATCAAGGCACTTGAATTTATTGAGTCATCTCCATTTTATGTCACAGATTACCCCTCTTGATTCAGATTGGTTAGGAGTTTATTCTTAGTATGTCAGAAAAGCATTCGGTACCTCGATGTCCCCCTCACCGCGGAGCGTATCACCGCTAGGCTTTTTGATGGCTTGGTTAAGCAAATCGAGGCTCAACTTGGCCGATGTAGTGGCCATACACTCTCATACGTGAGTGGAACTCATCCGCTCGGTGATCCAAGGTATTGAGTGTTTTTGGTTGGGGATTTTTCACTTACCTGCGCACCAAAATTATCCAACTATGTAGGAAATTCCTATAAGGATCGAAAAGCGCTCTCGTAGCTTGGGATAGCTTATGTCTCCCGCGCTCGGAAGGGTGTTTAGGTCTTCGGAAAATGCTTGGAACCAAGCGTTGCTTGCACGCACACTATGGAACATGCAAGCAAAAAAGGACACCTTATGGTACAAATGGATCCACAACATTTATTTGGGGGGCAAGTTTATGTGGAAATGGGAAATACATAAGGAAGACTCGCCCCTTTTCAAAGAGAGCGGGTAGTGAGCAAGCCGCGAAAGCCTTGCTTCATCATTGGACTAGTTCACGAGGTAAGCAAGATGAGTTGCGAAGTTGCTATGATTGGTGCCATGAGATGGGGGTTGTTTGGGGCCCTTGCAATATCCTCAAACACTCTTTTATTCTTTGATTGGGAGTGCTCAATCGTCTTCGTACAAAAGACCGGTTAGAGTTCCTTGATGAAGACCCGACTTGCTCTCTTTGTGGTGATGTTGTTGAATCATCGGGGCATCTATTTCTCGAATGCTCCTTTAGCTCAGAAATTTGGAGAGTGATTCGGGATTGGGTTAGCCTCCATCATAAAGATGGACTAAGAAGGAGGCACGAGGTGCTAGTTGACAAACCAAGTTGAAGAAAGCGGCGCTTGCGGCAACCGTGTATTTCATTTGGAATGCGAGAAATAGGTTGGTTTTTGAAAATGAATCTCAACCTCCGAGCCTAGTGATTCGTAAGATCCAAAGTCATGTTTATCGTACAATTTTTGCATTATATCCGAATGTGCTTGCCGAATATGAGAGGAAGGCCCTTGGTTTAAAAGATTTTCTTTTTCATGGAGAGTTTTTGTACTTATGGTTTGTGTCTATTGGTTTGGGTCTTGAGTGAGCAACCGACATGTGGTTGTCCTCTAAGACTATTCACAAGCGAGTGAGGAGCCGAGCATGTGGCTGCCCACTGTGCTTTTGTTTGTCAATTATCGGTCTATGAACTTCAATTTTGATATATAAATTTATATTACCGATCAATAAAAAAAAAAAAAACCATTTGGAAACTCAATATATTGATAGTCAACAATGTAAAGGCAACCACATTGGTTTGAGAGGAAAATTGTAATAATGATTATATGATTAAGCAGGGTGTAAGAGAAGGTAAATCAATTAGATGGACAATTGACCATGGAAACAAGAAATTGTTATGGATTTGTTGTAACAATAATAAGCTGCCACAACGAACAATCCTTATAAGCCTTATGGAACAATAAATAATAAGTGGCTAACTGAACGGAGCCTAACACACAACTGTCTCTTGCAATAAACAATCACTTAATTAAATGGTTTCACCTTCATTTGATTCTATTCATGTCATTCTCTAATCAATCAAGCATACATGTCTACAGTTCAATACGGTTTGGATTTTCTAAACCATTTGTGGAAGAAAACTGAGAACAAAAAAAGTTTGGGAAATTATGTCAGCACACGCATGTTACAAAACGACAAAGTTGCATAGAATCAAATTTGAATTGATTATGTAACATTGAATCCAAAAAAACTCATAAGATATAGGACATTGAGCAATTGAGCTTACATGGTTCAGATAAACTTGGCATGATCCAAAATGGCGGTGTGAATTCCGAGGATAAAAAGGGATATGCTCGATAGACCCATCATCCAAGCTATAAACGCCAACATCAAGATCACCACCCGTATTTTCATGATTCATCTAGTGCGATTTCTTGTCTCAAACACATAAATTTCTTAAAGGCAAGCTGTAGTAGGGAACAATTACATGTGTGTGACGTTTGCCACAAATCTAAATAATGTAGAATGCCTTTTTCTTGAAGCAATATTCAGAGTAAATGTAAATTTGATTTGATACAAATTGGATGTATGGGGCCCATATAGTGAAGAATCCATAACAAATACTCCTTACATGCTGACTATTGTGGATGACTATACAAGGGCTACTTGGATTTTCTTGATAAAAAATAAGTCAGAGGTACATTTACATGTTATGATTTTTTATTTTTTTATTTTGGTTTAAAGATGGTTAAGGTGCAGTTTGGAGTGGGTGTGAAGAAAATCAGATCAAACAAAGACATGCTCTAATGTCTCCTTGAATAGTTGAGGCCAAACCCTCACCACAATAGGTAAAACACGTCGAAAAAGAAAAAAACATGGATCAAATCTGATAGTCACACAAGTCGCGTGACGTTGGGTTGAGTTCCATACGACTTGTGTGACCCGAGCATGAAAACTCACTGAAAAATGCCCCCAGGTGCCACACGAGTCATGTGACTCACACGTACAACGAATGTAAAAATATCAAGCTTGCTAAATTTTGTTTCAAATTCTCATCAAGTTATCCCATTCAATAGCATTGAAGATTTTATATCAATCAAACCTCTACATCCCCAGTGTTTAGTAGCACATTGATTGGAGAATGAAAACAAAACATTACCACTGCTTCTAAATACAAGACATCAATTCGATTCTGCCAGAGAGGATCTTGCATTCGAGTGTCATTTCCAGTTGCACCATACACGGGTGAATGATAAAGAAGATATCAATATAGATGTTCGGTGTTCCTATAAAATTTAATTTCTGCCAGAGAGGATCTTGCATTCGAGTGTCATCTCCAATTGCACCATACACGGGTGAATGATACAGAAGATATCAATATAGATGTTCGGTGTTCCTATAAAAGTCAAACCAGCATAATACCATGTCCAACACACTCAACTGGAAAACTATATTTGACAATAGAGTTACATGGTCCAACTGATAACTAACTGAAACTTCTATCAGCAGACCTCAGAGCATATTAGATCTAAACATCAAACGACAATGGTCGACAAAACCAATCTCAAAAAAGCCAATACAACATTGAAAACACTCGTCTTTTTTTTTTTTCAAAATTATTAAACAGCAAGAATTTTAAAAAGTCAAGTCAACTCATCCATACTTTTAACGTCCTCATGCTTCACATCAGATATAGTACAACCATCCACAACCCCATTCCCCTTGCCATCACCACCTGAGCCATTGCCCACAATAAAATGTAAATCCGGATAATTACGGTAGTTCAAAGAGTGCAGCCAAAGTGCCACTGACCCATCCTTGTGCTCAGTTGAGGCAACATGGGAATAAATGTACTTATTCTTGAACTCTTCAGCCTCATCCGCATAATCCCTCATCGAGAGCTCTTCATGGCTATCCTTCCACTTTTTGTTATACGACGAGAAAAAGCACTCGTCCAAGTACAACCCCACCTCAGGGGCCAAAGGCACATTTATATTTACCTTCCTGACTTTGTTAACCAATGTCAAAAAACAGGAAATCTCACACAAAATACACATCACTTCAAACATGATGAAGAAAAAAAGATACTTACGGATCAAAAGCAGTTTGAATTAACGACTCGGCAGAAAAATTCCTCATGATTGCCACAGCAAGACCAATCATTTTGCGTATTTGGTGAAGCATGAAGCTCTGGCCCACGACTTTGCACTTGACAAATTCCAGTCCATCAATGCTGATTACAGCATTAGCATTGAACGAGACAATGTATCGTTTGGCTGCAGGGTCCTCTGCTTTTGTTCGTGTGGTGAAATTGTGGAAGTTATGTGTCCCTTCATAGTAGTTTAGTATTCTGTTAAACCTCTCCTTCTCCTCTTCACCATAATGAAACTTTCTCTTCTTTATTTTTGCCTGGTGATAGCCATTTTTCGGACTCTATTTCACCCTCCTTCATTTTTTCAACATTTTCATTTCCATTTGCCACTATCTTCTCAGTTTCAGCAAAATTGATCACTTTCTCTGAAGACAATCCTCCTCAACTTTCCCAGTTTTGATACTTGAGTTATTTTCAGAATCATTATCCTCCAAGGATTCAATTACAGAATTCTCTTCAGTTAAAGCACTTGCACTAGGATCGTTCAATGAAATGCCTGGAGCAACCTCAACATTCATAGAAACACCTTGCGACTCATAACGACACTTACCCATAACCCCCAAAACCTTCCTTCCTCTTTCCGAACACTCCAGGCACTTGACCAGCTCATTTCCGGACCCCACGCTGGCCAACACGCTCTCTCTATCCCGATGACAAGACGGATCAAGTGCAAACACCGGGATAAGATAAACGTACCTCCGCCGGTCACAGAACTTCTTCGCGTTGAACGACGGCGTGACCTGCTTGTATCCGAAAATTCGGATCTGCGGGGACAGGTTCGAGTTGAGCCGCTTGACGAAGCCGGGCGGGTCGATGTAGAACCGGCCCGATACCACCTGGCCGACGGCGCTGACGCCTTTGTCGGTACGGGCGGACCGGGCCCAGTCGTATCGCCTCGGTTGACCCCTGTCCGGTTCGGGGACGGCTCCGGACAAATAGAGAGCCTCCTCGAGGTCGCCTTCGATTGTTTTAGCGCCGGGGTTCTTCTGCATCCCCTGGTAGCTCACGCCGCAGTAGGCGAAGAATATTGCAACCTTGCGGCGCTTGTATTTGGGCTTCCGAGGGATCGCTTCGGGATTCTCGTGATTCTGTTCGTCGTCGTCGGAGGTGGTGGTGGACATTTTTTGCCTTTTGGATTTAGGATGTTCTATCTTGGGGTTGAAATGATGCTTTTTCGGCCATTTGTGTGGGGGAGATGAAGCGTATCAGACAAAGTTGCGCGTCTGTGGCCTGTGCCCTCGTAAAACCCTCGACGGAAATTGTTCACTGCCTTGTGCTTCGGGTGGTTGTACGTTGAGCTTAGGTGAAATTTACTACTTTGATTTTTTTATTTTTTTTATCGGTCGTTGGTTTTTATTTCTTACTCCACTCTAGCGTCAAGGAATATGAAAGACGAAAAAAAAAATAAAAAAAATTATATATATATATATATATATGGGCGGATCAAATGGGACCACTCCTTAAAATGAGTACGTGACACTCAATCTTAGCCACCCATTTTGTTTAGATTAAAATCAATTAAAATATACATTAATTAAATAATAAAATAATTATTAGTTGACTCCGGCGTTGACCGTTGACTTCCGGCGAAAATCGTTGACTTCTGGTGAAAATCGTTGACTTCGGCGTTGACCGTTGACTTCTGGCGTTGACTCTGGCGTTGACCGTTGACAACTAACCTAGCAGCAAGAAATAAATATCCTAGCAATAAAAGACAACTAACTAAACAGCAAGAAAGAAATAACCTAGCAACAAAAGACAACTAACCTAGCAGCATCAGACAACTAACCTAGCAGCAAGAAAGAACTAACCTAGCAACAAAAAACAACTAACCTAGCAGCAAGAAAGAACTAACCTAGCAACAAAACACAACTAACCTAGCAGCAAGAAAGAACTAACCTAGCAACAAAAGACAACTAACCTAGCAGCAAGAAAAAAATAGCCTAGCAACTTAAGACAACTAACCTAGCAACAAAACTCAACTAACCTAGCAGCTATAAATAACTAACCTAGCAACAACAAACAACTAACCTAGCAATAAAATACAACTAACCTAGACATGACAACAAAAGACAAATGGTCAACGGTCAACGCCTGAAGTCAATGCCGGAGTCAACGGTCAACGCCGGAGGTCAACGATTTTTGTCGGAAGTCAGCGGTCAACGCCGGAGTCAACGGTCAATGCCGGAGTCAACAGTCAATGGTCATAATAATATTTAAATAATTAAAAATAAAGAATTAAATAATAAAAATAAAGAATTGTTATATAAATCAAGATCTAAATCTTGTGCTAGGAATGAGTCTCACGTCCTCAATTTTAATAAGCGGATGCATTTGGACCAATCCCTATATATATATATTCTTATTAGTTTAGTAATTTGAATTTTTGAGTGACATTTTGAGACATTAGACATTTTAATATTTTCAGACTTCAGAGGAATACCATGAAATCTCAAGTGTGGAGGTGAGACTTGGAGCGTTTGGAATTTCGAGTGACATATTTGACTTTTTGAGATTTGAGATTTTTTAAAATTTTGAAAGAAATCTTAAGTCATGAAGTGATATTTGGAATGACATTTCGTATATATTTGTTTCTTTAGAAATCACAGTAAATCTTAAAAAGTCTTAACAATCTTATTCTCAAATAAGTTAAATAACTCAGGATTTTGTAAGACTTTTTAAAATACCAAATGGATATCTACTTTTAAAAGTCTTGAGAAGTTTAAATTAAATACACCAAAATTTTCGAATTCTTAAAAAGTCTTTAAAAATTCATAGAAATTTCAATTGAATACATCCTGATGCATTACGGTAGAATGACCTACAGGAATCATTTACTTTGTGTGATGAAATTAGACAACTTAATCAAAGATACTTTACATGTCAGCAATTTGTTCCACGTTTACTTTGTATGATGGGATTGTCTGAAACAGTGAGGTTCGCAAATATGTAAAAGAAATATTGAGATAAAAAAAATCTCGAGTGAGGGGTAGGACTATTTAATTGTCCAATATTTGATAAGCAGTGAGACCCGCAGTCCATATGTGCGCCAATTGAGATCAATTCCATCCTAATCCAGGAAAGTAAACACAGTACAAGTACAAGTGGTGGCATTTTTCATTAGTATTATTCCAATTTGTATAGAAACAGTACTTCTCTGAAACAAATTTTTGAATGTTATCACGTTTAAAAGGGAATTTGAAGCGAGAACAACAACCTATATAGGTAATGAACCACCCCAATATTGATTAGGCCCAAAACGTGCGAGTGAGAACTGGGGAGGGATAATTTTGCAGAATAGTTGAAATTTGAAAATGTGAAAATCAGATGTCGACCAATCAGAAAAATTGAGAATGAATATATAACTTTGAAAGAACCACCCACGCAATGCACATACCGATCATCTGATTATTCTCCGGCGATCCCTTCATTTTCAAAATTTCATCTGCGTGCACCAGCGCAGCCCCGTCTCTACCGTTGAAATTTGGACGAATCTGACCCAAATTCCCACCGAAAGCAACTGCAGGCAAAACCCCTTTTTCCCAACCCAGATTCTCTGCGATCTGAGCTGTTCCATTCGTCGGTTCGTGGTGTTTTATTCCTTTTCTTTACCCACCAAGTGTTTCGCACTTTCGAACATTTTCTCCCAATGCATGGCTGGAAATAAAAAATTTTCTATCTTTCGCCTTCCAGCATCTTTATTTTAGCCTTTCTCCAGCTATAAATAGAGGGCGAAGATCGACACCTTCAATTCGTGCTGCCATCAGTTAGTTCAAGAGCCTGCAGTTCCATTTTCTAGGTGCGTCTTCTCGCTTATGCAGTTCATTTTTTTTTTTTTTAAAGATATCTGTTGTTTACTATTCGTGTTGCTCTGCACTGCGTGCGTTCTTTTGACTTTCAGAGTTCAACGATACCCAATTTAACTTTGGTTAGCTTTAGACACACACACACACACACACACTCATGCATACGCGTGTCCTTACTGTAATCAATTGTTGTTCATGAATTGCAACATGTGATGGATATAAGATTACAATTTCAAATAAAATAGTACTGACTGTGGTTCCTATGGATTTCTCTGAATCTGAGTACATGAATTGATCGGTCAAAAAAATCAACTGACCCATCTTGAAGCGTAAATGTTCTAGAATGATAAACCCAATCTGCTTCCTGTTCAATTTTGGTTCCCTTTAATCGTTGAAGACTTGATTTCGTGATTTACGCTTCTTCCTTCAGTAGTAATAGTTTTTGCTGCATGCAGAAGCCTCGTTTGGTCTGCAGACTGAATAGGCAACTTGTTGCACAACATGGGTTACATGAGCAATGTACGTACACACGCCCTATCTTGATTATCTTATGGTTTTCAATTGTTTGCTGAATGCTGCGCGTACGTGTAAATATAAGGATATCACCTTGATCTTGTGAGCTATTTCGATTAGTATGGTTAAAATTTCAAGTGTCTCATATAATTTGTTCTCTGCATACAGGAATTGGATAAAAATAATCAGCAGATTGATACTGGTTAGTATTCTCCCTTTAAATCAGTTTATATTTCTTGGGTATTTGAGTACTTGTCCTTATATATTTGAATTGCTTGATCTTTAGCACCTCCGCTTCTACTTTTTAGTTTGAAGAGATCATTATAAACTCTCTTTGAGTGTGTGTGTGTGTGTGTGTACTCTGAAACATAACTAATATGTAGATGACACGAGCCTACGTAAATAGCTAGTTGACTAGAAATACTTTTATTGGATAACAGAAAACAAGCATACTAATCCCGTATGTCAAATATCAAAAGTACAGATGTAACCCCATTATCAGTCTCTATGGCTGAACATTTTTCTCTTCTTTACAACAACAACAACATACCCAGTATATTCCCAACAGGTTGGGGTCTGAGGGGTCAGTTGTACGCAGACCTTACCCTTGTAATTATACTAGGAGGCTGTTTCCGTAGCGACCCAAGGTGCATTGCGTCGTTTGATATATTTTTTTTTTTTCCTAGAAACTTCACTAATAGAAGAAGCACTAGAATTTAATTGAGCCATTTTTTTCTAGTCCATTATTAGCACTATGCCAGGAGAATTGTCAACAATGACTCTTCCAGCTCTATTTTTCTCTTCTTTATTATTTCCTTTACGTAAGACATGACATGATGAAGAATAGTGAATGATACCGATAAGTCTAGAGAGTTCTTACCATAAATAATGATGTAGGCACCGGTAATGAGTTTATGATAGATAACTTTCAGAAGTTTGGAAAAATACTGAGACAAAAGGAGTTGAATATCAAGTCATAGCATCATTTTCTGGACGTCCAGCGCAGAGGTGAGAAAATTATGTTTCAGAGTGTGAGGGTTTCAGCACTGAAATTAGGAAAACATTGTTCTCCCTATTCTGTCTCGAAACATTGTATGCCAGTTCGAGTGCTATCATTTTCTCGTATAATGTATTAGTAATTCGATTTTAGTCTTTCTAGTGTAAGATAGTAAGATTTTGAACCATTTTATGATCGTCTTAGAATATCTACTTTTAGATGTCTGAGACTTTTTCATTGTTGAGTTCATTTGCAGATCTAGTAGTATCTGAATTTTCATCACTATATGTTGAAAAGAAGATTGACAATGGTTTAATTTTTTTATTTTCTTTTCAATGGTGCAGGTGCAGCAATACGCAATGGAAAAGAAATTATGTTGCAGGTGACTTATTCTTCAAGTTTTTTTCTTTAAATTATAGTGAAAGTGATCTGCTCTCATAATAAGTATCCCAAATTATTGTTCTATAGGCGCTGTTGATCAGTCAGTTATCTCAAATTCAATTTGGATGATTGAAAAAACATGATAAGACATAAAGATTTAAAGCACAGCATGTGGCAGCTGATTAGCTAATATAAACATTTAAACACACAATTGTCAGTTTTTTCTTATATTTTGAGCAGAAGGTTTTAAGAGCAGGAATTTGTACATTAATTTGAACCATGTTGTGATAAGCTGCTTTCCAGGCTTTCAATTGGGAGTCTCACAAACATGATTGGTGGAGGAACTTGGAGAAAAAGGTCTCTGATATTTCCAAATCAGGATTCACATCTGCGTGGTTGCCCCCACCCACACACTCATTTGCACCTGAAGGTCAGTAAAAAAAAGAGTGAACTCATGATTTTATATATCTATGCTTTCCATTCATTTAATTTCTTTTCGGTTAAATTTTCCTATTAACTCTCTTGCTCGGCAGGTTATCTTCCACAGAACCTTTACTCACTCAACTCTTCATATGGTTCCGAGAACATGCTAAAAGCTCTGCTTAACAAGTTGAAAACACACAAAGTTAGACCAATGGCTGACATAGTCATAAATCATCGGGTGGGGACCACTAAAGGGCATGGTGGTATGTACAACCGTTATGATGGGATACCGCTAGCATGGGACGAGCATGCAGTTACAGCCTGTACTGGTGGAAAGGTAATTTAAGTTATATAGGATTATATGTAAAAGTTGAAGCATTATAATTTATTTTGGAGCATGCATAAATTTGAGTGATCTTATGCTATTACTAAGTTTTCATTTCAGTTTCAGTAGCATATTCACCTTCTTTTGTGCTGAATAACCATTTAGGGCAACAAAAGTACTGGGGACAATTTTAATGGGGTCCCGAATATTGATCACACCCAGCACTTTGTGAGGAAAGACATAACCAACTGGCTTCAGTGGTTGAGAAATGATGTCGGTTTCCAGGATTTTCGGTTTGATTTTGCTAGAGGGTACATTTCACTGTTGTTTAGCTCTGTTTTATCCAAATTGTTACATAACTTGTTCCTATGAAGCCTGATCTGCTATTTCATGTTTACCTGTCTAGTTATTCTGCCAAATATGTGAAGGAATATATTGAAAGTGCCAAGCCGATATTTTCTGTTGGTGAATATTGGGATTCTTGCAACTACAAAGGCAGCTACTTGGAGTACAATCAAGGTATGTAGGTTTCACTCTTGAATAATTCAAACATGGAATCAGAGTATCAGTTTTCAACTCCAGGTTTAGCATGCTGCATCGAAATAATTCAGAGGAAGCTCGGATCTTTTATCTTTTTAATTTTTGTTATACATATATGTATATGTATTTCTCTTGTCAGAAATATCACGTGGTTAATTTTCATACGGTATATTGGAAAACACTAGGTCATTCACCGTCAGATCCAACACACAGCAAATTTTTTTCTATTAGATTTGACTATTGAGTCCTGATCAGTTTCTCAGTTTTTTTTTTAGCTTGGTTATTCATTCTCTACATTATGCATAACATGATTCCTGTGGAGTTTCTGGGTAAATAGAAGTGAGGAGCAAATTCTCAACATGATTTTACCTTTTCTTATTTTAATTAGTTTGACTGCCCAGCTTAGTCCAATTCAATTGCAGATAGTCACAGGCAAAGGATTATCAACTGGATAGATAGCACGGGACAACTAGCAGCTGCGTTTGACTTCACTACCAAGGGGATTCTCCAGGTTCAAAAGATTGTTTGTGAAAGTTGCTTTATCTTTGTTTATTATTATCTATAAAATTGAGTGACCTCAATTGATTGATTTGCAGGAAGCTGTGAAAGGAGAATTCTGGCGTTTGCGTGATCCACAAGGGAAGCCACCAGGTGTCATCGGGTGGTGGCCTTCAAGAGCCGTGACATTTCTTGACAACCATGATACTGGCTCAACACAGGTAATAACTTCTTCTATATACTAATTTGCAGCTTTATAAGGATTACTCATTAAAATTATAAGTTACAACTATACAAGGGTCATCATTTGCTTTTTCTATCGTTGCAAATGGAATTCACTATATATTTTATTTTTAACTCCGTGAGTTTTGCAATTTAAGTTTGAATGACGAATTGATAATTGTTTATTGCCAGGCACATTGGCCTTTCCCATCACATCACATTATGGAGGTACACATGAATTCCGTTCTTAGTAGTAACACAAGCAATAAATACTACTTTATTATTTTTTTAAGGATTATTTAATTTGATTTGCATTGTATGCGTTTGTTACGTCACAGGGGTACACCTACATACTCACACACCCTGGCATACCCTCAGTGTTCTACGACCATTTCTACGACTGGGGTAGTTCGATTCACGACCAGATTGTGAAGCTGGTAAATTTTGTAATTATTTCACTATTTTTCTTGAGCATGCATGTTTTGAACTTTAATCACGTGATTTCGATTTTTCTAGATTGATATAAGGAAGGGTCAAGGAATAAACAGCCGATCGTCGATTAAGATCCTGGAGGCACAGCAAAACTTGTATGCCGCCATTATTGGAGACAAGATATCGATGAAGATTGGAGACGGGTGTTGGTGCCCTTCCGGAAAGGAATGGACATTGGCGACTAGCGGGCATAGATATGCCGTCTGGAAGAAATAGGTTTTTTATATTTAGTATATAAAAATTAGGACAATAAAATAAGACCTCCCTCTACTTCAATCAACCTTCATGTCACGTGTTTGTTATTAATTTTCATTGTATGTAAGTGTACGACAAGCTATAGGTAGTGGCGAGCAAAAATCGTATTCCACAAAGATTGTAGTTAAATTAATTAAATATCAAAATAATTACGATTCAATATTATCTAAGCTAACACAAATTTAGATGATGATTACAAACTAATAAATTAAACTAAAAAGTAATTTATCTAAGAAATAAAACTTAATCAAAATTATGAAATTTACAAGAGAAAGATAGATTCTAGGCTAATTTTTTTTATGGAATCAATTCATAAAAATATTAAATGCCAAAGGTTATTTGATTATATCAATTGTAGGGATATTGCTAAATTAATTTAACATTTCACTCAAACAAACTAAATAATAGATTAATTTTTATGTATCTTCTACCGTTCTCAAGATAAACAATCAACTCACTAAATCTTAAGATTTTTTCTATCAACTTCTCTGCCTATTTAGTTTATTACGTCGTAAATTTTTCAATTCCAGCAATCAATTATCTTCTCTCGGTCGAAAATATATTACAAATATGCATTCATATAGCGGCCGTCTAAAATTAGAATAAAAATTCATAAACGAATGATAAATCAGAATGAATCGAATAAAAAGTATATCATAAATCAATCCATGTACTAACAAATCCTATAATCATAGATAAATTTAGCCTTATAACATACTTATAAAATTAGAAAAAGTAAGAAGAAAACAAGAGTTCAAAAATAGAAAAGAAAAAGGAGAAAAAAGCTTAATCAACTCCTTCGATCTCTTTCTTCACGGTTTTCTCGCTCGTTTTGTGCGTGTTCGGCCTACGAATGTCTCTAAAATTTAGAAAGGATCTAAAAAAAGGTGGCATAAAGGTTCATAAATTGTTGTAGTCGAGTCCTAGATGAAATAGGTGAAAAAACCAGCCGAAAAT